GAATGTTTATATCAGCTAGATCTAAATCAGGAACAGGTTTTCAGCAACTGAGAGGGGGTTTGGAATCTTGTAGTTCATCTTTCCTGATGTGTAGGTGAAACAATGTCTCAAACGGCCATTATATGTGTGTGTGTAGTGAAAGAGAGTACTGAAAAGAAGGGGCTCCTTAAAAAGTCCTGTGTGGCTCAGCACGTGGCTAGAGTCTGTTCTGTCAGGACCCCTACCTTCCCCCGGTATAGCTGTGAGCCACCAGAGCCTTGAGCAGGGGATCAACTTCTTGTCTGCTGGATCTGGTATCTGCTCCCATCACAATGGGCTTACAAAAGCATGGATAATTAATGTGGCTGTGGGGAAAAAAGTAATCATGTAAAAATGGCTCCGTCTGACTCCGAATATTAGCTGCCTCTGTGTTCCCAGTGTCACGTCTGCTCACTGACAAAAGCATGTTTTTATAACTTTTTACTCCTGTTAGCCCTGCAGAGCTATGGGAAAGAGAGCTGGATTCTATTCTGGTTCATGCATTGTCAACGGAATTGTTAATTAGTTTCCTCTGCAGGGCCAAATTCTGACCTCAGAACCCCACTGACCTATGCAACCCCACTGAAGACAATGAGAACAGAATTTGGCTCTCAGAATCTTAGGGTAGGTCTACACTTACCCGGTAGTTCGGCGGCGAGCGATCGAACTTCCGGGTTCGACTTATCGCGTCTTGTCTGGACGCGATAAGTCGAACCCGGAAGTGCTCGCCGTCGACTGCGGTACTCCAGCTAGACGAGAGGAGTACCGCGGAGTCGACGGGGGAGCCTGCCTGCCGCGTGTGGACCGAGGTAAGTTCGAACTAAGGTACTTCGAACTTCAGCTTGAAGTTGCGTACCTTAGTTCGAATTAGGGGGTTAGTGTAGACCTGGCCTCAGAGTATTTATTATTGGTGATGATGCACAAACCAGAAAGAACCGAGCATCAACTTCAGATCTGAGGTTGAATTTACATGGCTCGCAGTTAAACTCCTCCCATCTTTTTACTTGTAAATTGAACACATTTGATCTGGAATCACTGAGGGTTGGGTATACCTACACTTAAAACACTGCAGCAGCTCCATGTAGTGCTTCAGTGCAGTCACTACCTATGCCAACAGGAGGGCTTCTCCCAAATTAATACTGGCCACTCCAGGCTTGTATTAAACTCCCAAGGTTACAGCTTTTCTCTGGCCTGGGATGGATAGATGCTGCCACCACCCAAATGCAAAAACCCCTTTGAAGAGCTAGGAGGGCGCACTTGGGAATTCCTTCCTGTGGGGTACCCTCAAGCCCTTTCACCCCTCTCTCCCGGGGAAGAGCTGAGAATGAAAACAAAGGAAATCAGCTGTTGCTACCAGCTAATTAAACAAGGTCAGTGTAAGTAATCCACTGCCCCAAGAGGCAGTAGCTATTATTCAATCAAGCTAGTGCTGGTCTACACTGGGTTAGGTCAGTACAGCGATGTCTCTCAGGGTGTGGAATTTTTATACCCCTGAGAGATGTAGCTATCCCGAAGTAAATTCCTAGTGTTAGACCTGGTCTGAGGGGGAATTAGCGTGGAGTCCCATGATGCCCTTTTTACATAGTCAGTTTTCAGAGTAGAATTGCATCTGAAAGGATATTTCACAATTTCATCACACAGAAGGTGCTCGAAGAGCTATGGCATTTTTGGTTGTAAGGGCCTGAGCCTAATGCCTGTTGAAGTCACCAGGAGTCTTTTAACAGATGTCATTGGGTGCTGGATTGAACTCTAAATACATATTTCCCCAGTAGTATTTTATCCCAAGTGAAATGCTGATTTATTCTCTTCTGCAAATGTTCACTGATGAGTGGTAACTCTGGAGTCTAAGACCATGTGGGAATGATTAGAGTCGATTGAACATGACATTGTAAAGTCATTTCCAGCTTGTAATCAGCAACAATGGATGTGGTTAGGCTATTTAAATAAACATATGGAGGAGAGGATGAATCATTAAGTAAATAAATAGTTGATGCTTAGGAATTGCCATTATATGTAATAGTGTTGGGCAGATCTGACATCTATTTCTTTTACTAAGGGCTTCTCTACACTTAAAATGCTATAGAGGCACAGCTGAGCCGCTGCAGCTGTGCCATTGTAGCACTTCAGTATATGTATGCCAACGAGAGGGCTTCTCCCATTGGTGTAGGTAAACCACTTCCCTGTAGCTAGGTCGACAGAAGAATTCTTCCATTGACCTACTGTTGTCAACACCAGGGGTCAGGTTGAAATAGCTGTGTCTCAGGGGGATAGATTTTTCACATCCCTGAGAGACATAGATACACTGATGTAAATTCCTTATGTAGACCAGGCCTAGGAGAATATTTGCTGAAGTATAAGGGCCAAATTCAGAAGTGATTCTAAGAGAGATGTAGCCAAACCGACCTAACCCCCAATGTAGACCAGTGGTAGGTCTACAGAAGAATTCTTCTGTTGACCTAGCTACTGCCTGTCCGGTAGGTGGCATAGGTAGTGTCTACAGTGAAGCGCTACAGCAGTGCAGCTGCAGCATTTTAAATGTAGATAAACTCTGTAAGTAGGTTTAATTTAATCCTCCTTTCAGCTCATGGACCCTTCATTCCATACATATATATGCTACATCAATTTAGACTTCTTTAGGATCACGACCCCTGACCAGTTTGTAATATACAGCCACTCCCTTTAATACAGCACTTTGGAATTTGGTCCATTGAGTCTGAGGTCTTGCCTATATTAGAGAATTTTCCCTTATGTAACTGTATCAGTCTAGTTCCATCAATGTAAACCCCTAATGTAAATGAGCGGCATTGGTGGGGCCTAGATTAGTATGACTTAATCCAATGAATAACCAGAGTAGCCTGGTTTATATTATGCAGCATGTCTACATGCATGTACCAGTGCAATGCAGAGAAGGCTAAGGGCTGGTCTACACTGGGAACTTGCGTCTCTCAGGGGTCTGAAAAATCCCCACCCCTGAGAGAGGTAGCTATACCAGGGATCGGCAACCTTTGGCCTGCAGCCTGCCGGTTTGTGTACCTGCCACGTCTGCAGGTTCAGCTGATCGCGGCTCCCACTGGCCGTGGTTTGCTGCTCCAGGCCAATGGGGATGTCAGGAAGTGGCGGCCAGCACATCCCTCGGCCCGCACCTCTTCCCGCAGCCCCCATTGGCCTAGAGTGGGGAACCACAGCAAGAGGGAGCCACAATTGGCCGAACCTGCGGATGCGTCAGGTAAACAAACCGGCCCGGCCCGGGGCTTACCCTGGCAGGCCGCTTGCCAAAGGTTGCCGATCCCTGAGCTATACTGATGCAAATTCCTAGTATAGCCCAGGCGGAGTGTAAATTAAACCAATATAAACTCCCTTTCATATCCTTAAGTGGGTGTAATTAAGCATGTAACGGAGTTGGACTGGGCCAACATGTAGGGGCTGAGTGGGGGCCAGAATCTTGCCCATTATGGCTAGTGTGTAATTGGAACTAAATGACATGTGATTTCGTGTTGCTACAGCTAATAATTACCTTATTGACATTGATATGGGGCAATATTCTCCAATGTAATGCAGTGTGTAATCTGACCTTAAAGATGGTTTCACTGGTCCAGGGAAGATCACAACTTAAGAAGAAACCTCCAAATGCATGTAGCCTGCGTAGGAGTTTTTATTCTCGTCTTCACCCAGCTGCCAGGATATCTGAGGGGGGAAAAGTGTAACTGGAAAAAAGGGTGCCTGGTCAGGACACCAATCCTCAATCGCATTTCAGCAAAATGTAAAATAGGACAGCCCTCATGCAGCTCTAGACTAAAATGATGCAGGGATCAATCCCGCACAGAGCTGCAGGAAATTTAAGACACCTGTATACACGCACCCCTGACTGATGCTCTGTGCAGCTCCTCAGAACCCCAGGATCTGGCTCTAATTGTCCAGCTTGCAATTGAAAATAAATGTAGGGAGTAGCAAAGTTTGTCTGATGAAAGCCATTTGCTGCAACCTTGGATCTCTGTACACAGCCTGGTAAAGCAGAAGTTTTTTATTTGAGCCCTGGCATGCTTAGTTTTGACTTACAGTGCAACATGGTTATTATGTGTCTATATTTAACCACAGTGTTTTTTGCAATAGTGTTGCTGTGGTTTTTCTTTCATATTGCACACACGCAACAATGGAATACATAAAACATTCTCATTACCAAAAGAAATTTAATTTTGCAGCAATAATTAAATAGGAAGTTGCCACTAGAACTGCCTGGCAGTTTTACAAAGTGGGATGCAGCTCTGCCTTTGAATGCAAGGGAAGGCAGAGGACTATCAAAGTAGCTATACTTCAAGTTGTCCAGAAAAGGTGTATACTGTGTTCCTCAGAGTTTTTCCCTCTTCCGCTCTCTCAGCTTCTGATCGCTCCCTTTTTGCTTTCCCCCAACACAATGGAACTCCTTGGTTCTCTGACAAAAGCCATCCAGCTGGCTAACAGCCACACGCTGGCTACCAGCCTCACGCTTCCAACCACTCCTCTGTGCTATTGATCCTCAGTCTTATTGGAGATCTGTCAGCTTCTGGGAATGATAAAGGGGACCTTAACTTGGAGCACGCTTGTGTTAATAGATGGTGTTTATGAACAGATATATCAGTGACCTACCCCTTCAGTGGTTGAGAATAATCAGTCACAGACTCTCCACTACTAGAAGTAGGGAGTCATATTCCGCAATACTCCTTTGGTTGGGGTGGGGGCAAGAGGATCCCAGCCTGAAAATCCCTTATGTGGCATTCAAATAGCATGGAAGACAATTTGGACCCCATTCAGGGTTGTATAATGGGAGACCCCTGGATTTCCTGTACTTATGTTTTTTCCCTCACTCCTTGATCAGTTTGACACTAATGTTTCAGTGCTCTGTGAACAGGAAAGTGTTGGCCTCTGACTCCCAAGGCTCCAAACCAGAATAAATTGTGAAGAAATAAAAATATGACACTAATGGAGTTTTCTTGTTCTTATTTCAGGACAAGAGCATCCCTGACCTAGAGGCATCTAACTTCAAATCCATTAGTCCAGGGGTCAGCAACCTTTCAGAAGTGGTGTGCCGAGTCTTCATTTATTCACTCTAATTTAAGGTTTCGCGTGCCAGTCATACATTTAAACATTTTTAGATGGTCTCTTTCTATAAGACTATAATATATAACTAAACTATTGTTGCATGTAAAGTAAATAAGGTTTTTAAAATGTTTAAGAAGCTTCATTTAAAATTAAATTAAAATGCAGAGCCCCCCGGACCGGTGGCCAGGTTCCAGGCAGTGTGAGTGCCACTGAAAATCAGCTTGCGTGCCGCCTTCGGCACGCGTGCCATAGGTTGCCTACCCCTGCATTAGTCTCTTTGAGCTTTGGTCAGGGAATTATGTAACTCCTCTCATTCCTTCTTCATTAAAACATACCTCCCCCGAACATGTTGAAGGACTTGACTAAGGTACTTGTGCCTGTAGCATGTTTTGCCGTGTTAATATCTTCCTCTCAAAAACAAATGACAAATACATGTGAGAATGTAATCTAGGCATACGTTTTCTATATATCACTTTGCAAGTGCTTGTAATCTTAATGGTTCATATACCACATAATAAATGATTCCATATGTAGAATTCAAATGTTCATAAGGTTCCTTTTAACTAATGTTGGCTCTGGAATGTCAAAATACCCAGTTGCCACATTTCAAGCAAAGACTTGAGGCCCATATGGCTATAATGAAGGAATGGAACAGAGAAGTTCCAGTAAGACTTCAAGTAAGCGCTAGGATGAATCTTCCAAAAATGGCAAAGAGGAGGGCTGGCTGCCAGGACCCTTGTTTGAAATGAAGCAATTGGGTATTTTGACAGTGCAGTGACAAATTTGTTGTCATCTGATCAGTGGGATATCAGTCCAGCTCCCAGGAGTCAGATGCCCATGTTACTAAAACAATCACCACTACCATAGCTGGCATTAATGTCACCTTTGCTGAGCTGACTAAGTCTCAGTAGAAAGGTCAAAGGGAGACCAAGAAACCAATGGAGAATCTAACCTCTAGAGATAGTCCCTTCAGGTCAGAGTCAAGCCACATAGTTGGAACCATCTAAATAAATTAGTGCTGCCAGTGTCCTTGTTTCACCTATTAGTTTAATAAATGACAATGTAGGTCAGGATAAACAGTAAACTCAGTTCAGCTTAGGAGGGTGGGGGGGCGTTATGTCACCTTTATGCCCTCCCTCCATTTTAAGGCCAGCCCGGGACCAACTTGGTTCCAGCAAAAGTTAGGGCAGTCTAAGGTTATGTCTACACTACGCACCTTTTCGTGACACAGCTGTGCTGCTACAGCTTTGCCGCTAAAAGGTTCACAGTGTAGCCGCTCTTTGTTGGTGGGAGAGAGCTCTCATGCCCACAAAAAAAATTCCACCTCCAACAAGAGGCAGTAGCTTTGTCGGCAGGAAAGCTCTCCAGCTGACAAAACGCTGTTCACACCGGTGCTTTTCGTCGGTAAAACTTTTGTCGTTCGGGGGTGTGGTTTTTTTCACACCCCTGAACAACAAAAGTTTTACCAACAAAAGTCCAGTGTAGACAAAGCCTAAGAGCTATTGTAACGTACATCCAGCTCCTTATAGCCCAAAGGGTCTTTTCCAGAGACTGAGTATCACTATGCCATTGTGGCCCTGCCTTCTTTCCCTAGGAAATATCTCCTGCACAGATGGTCAGGTGGGAGTGGGGAAGGAGTGGTGTCTCAGTCACTACAGCTGCTCTACAATATTTGGGAATTCCCCAAAAGCTGGGGGAATCCTCCACCAGATGGTTAAAACATCATTTTTATGGAGTCAGAACGCTGCAATGCAGTTGTAGCAGGACTGAGGATCTGGTGTTTGGTTTTAATTTGAAAATCATGTTAAAAACATAGCGCCTGTACATGTGTAATTTGTTTTTATCTTGGAGTTTTCTCCATAGACATGAATTAATCTCTCCCTAGGCTCATAATCTGGGAAAAATCTTTTAAAATAACTTAATAGCTATACCCTAGGTAGAATTACTCTTAGCATAGCATTTCTTAGCATACTCAAAAAAAATCTGCTTTCTAAAGCTAGTATCTATTATAAGGACCACAGCGTAATTTTCTGCCCCTTTGTCAACGATCTGTCAGTTAATGACAATTTGCAGTGACAGTGGTTTTAACTATTCATGGAGGCATGGACAAAATTGCAGACTAAGGGCATCCATGCAATTTTTAATATTCTTTCCTATTTTAAAAAAATAGACAATTTTTCCATGAGTCTGAAACCAGCCAAACAGCGCCAGAAGATGTGTAATCTGTTGCATTTACCACAATAGGGCGTGTATTTTTGCAGCATAATTCTCAGTGACAGGGTCACTTCATATCCATGGAAATGGAGGTGAAATAATTTAATTTGATTTGCTGAACAGAACTTGATTTTTGTGCCAGTTTGAAATCCCTTCGAATTTTTGTATGGGGGAACAAAATTCGGAAACTTGATCAGAAACCCAACTCACTACTATTGCCTTCCTAAAATCACAGATGTGATCACTGACCCTGAGTTTTGTTTGAACCCTGACCATGCCTGCTCTATCTTCTGTTCCTTCCCAGACTTGATAGGGTCCCTGACTCCCTTCACTTTCTGGACTGCTTCCCACTGATGGATCCTTTTCTTTTTTGATGAAATAATTTAAGTAAAAATGTATATGATATGAAGAAAATCAAGGATTCAGTTCCTCAGCTCCATAAAGTTTGCTTTGCATCACCAGTTGTGTAAAGCTAGCTCAAGTAGCCAACTGACAACCCCCTTGCTTGTAGGAATCCTCCAATGGTATACAGCTGATGTAGCTGAACTTCCACCTTGCAGTGCCCAGTGTAAGGGCTGTGGCCAGCGATAAGGGTGGCTGGCCAGAGCACCTCTCCTCTCCAGTGATCTCATTTGCTGAAAAGACCCTTGGAAGCCATTGTAGCCAGAATGATATAGAGCAGTCCTGAGGCTGCTCTGAATTGTTCCTTTGGTCTAGGCCAATTCCAGAAGGCTTGACCAAGGAGGTGCAAAGGTGGTCCAAGGTAGTCCTAAACAGCTAGCCCAAGAATTTTATTCCTTCTTGTTTACAACAATGAGGGTTTCACCATTTTTATTTCATTTTTTTGAAAAGCCTGACTACTAAGGGGAAAATGTTGATGTTAATTATATCTGTTCAACTCATTAAAGTCAGTGGGGTGAAAAGGAAGAGCATAATTTTCTCACTAGTCATTTTACACTCCCCCACATGTACACACCCTCCCACATATACACACAAACTATCTTAAAATAGTTTTAAATATAAAGACAAATATTTTATGAACAGGCAGGAGGATATCAAGCTGGAAAGGAGTGCTTGGTGTTAGTGTATAAACAATTGTGGTGAGGAGCATAACAACAATTCTGCCTTTGCTATCACAGAGTGAAGTCAATAACATACTTCCCAGACAAAATACAACTCTGTTCAGTTTGTTATAAGTAACTGGTAGATTCTATAAAATGTGCAATCCCTAGATAACTAATGCTCGCTGAGGAAAAACTAAGAGTGGATGTATGCTTTGATAGAGTATATTTTCTATACAGTGTTACAAAGGAGACATGAGAGAAAAGCAAAGCTGTAGACCAGAGTAGGTCATGTCTTTCTAGTCAAATAATCTTAGACACAACAGTTTTGTGAATCATAAGATACACACTTATTACATACCCTGACACATACTTACCTCGACAGCATGCTCCTTAAAAATGATCACAATTCAAAACACTCAAGGTGCTTAATCTGCAAATATTTAGACAGATTTCATCCATAAAGAAAATACTTTTTCCAGTTGAAAAATAACTAGAAAGTGCAGAAATGAACAAGATTATATTGTACAATTTAGACCTTAAGTATTTTTAGGAACTTCAATGTAGAAATAATTCAACTATTAGGTCTGTTTAGGGATAAAATGATACAAAATGTTGTCCCAATCCTGCAAGGCAATAAGTACCATTAGGTCCTAGTAACTTAAATGGGAATTAAAGGTGTCCAGTATCTCTTCATTCAGTTCCTTGCAGGGTCATGTCCCATAAGATCAGCATAAATATACCCATCAATATTTTTGTAAAATGCCAACTAAAACAGTTTCTTGGTTGGATAAAACATTCCCTACTCACTCTCCATTCAGTTACAGTAAGTGTAACAGAAATACTGCAGCATTGTGCTAGTGCATAGAAGCCAACAATTGAAACTGGTTAGTCTAATTTCATTATCAAAGCTGAGTGAAATGCAAGATAGAGAAAAACGGCACAAATGATGAAAAGTGATCAGAACTTTAAAATGCTTTCAGGGGTCATAATCCAAGATGTTAATAACACAGGTAAGAGAGTCTGCTTTTTTAATATGTTTTTTCAACTGAGATTACTTGGAATCAATGGGAAAATAAACTTGCAATAGTAACTGGTGGTGGTTTTAAATATTTTAATAATAATGGGTCAAATTCATTCCTGGAAACTATTAAAATCATGGAAGTTACTTCAGAGATTAATTTGGCTCTTTATTGTTACCTCTATCGACCGAGCAGCTAGCCAAAAATTTTGGGTCTTGAGGTTGTTCCACTTAGGAGGGAAAATTGGTAACAGGTATTTCTTTGATGCAGCTTTGTTTATTTGCAAAGAATGTATAAAATCCTGTTTCCCTGAACAAAGTAGGAAACAAACAGCAGGAGACAGTTCCTGTGTTCACTGTTCTAAGCTTGTCTTCTCAGCTGTACTCTGTACCCAAAAAGCTTTTGCTTTTAGTTTTCTCTTAGGACCACATTACCAGCCTTCTCTTACTATCTGCTTGGATTTCTCTTGCAGCTTTTGTCTGTCCTGTGGTGCTTCAGCTTATGCTCTCTCTCTCTGTGTGTATCGCTTGCACATACAAACACAAACGCCATCAACAATCCCACCAATCAAAGCCCTACCACCTGCATTTGAAACCCCCTGAGCCATATGCTTAAACTTCTGCTCAGCTTGTTTGTGGTCCTGTGTTTGCGATGCTACTGTTATTGTTTCAGCCTACTAATTACAGTGACTTCTTTACATTTATCCTGAATGTAAGATGGCAGCCATGCCTGGCCGATAACAACAAGGTTTAACTCAACCCAAAACATCATGTTTAAATCATATACATTTTCAATACATCTTGGCATATTCACCCTGCTTAGGTGCTCTAATGTGTTCTCTATTTCCTTACTTCATATATATTACATTGCTAAACAAAAAACTTTGTTCAAAAAGAGGTAAGATTGAAAAAGTTTCTTAACAGAGTGCAGATAACACATCCCCAAATGTACAATTTATTTTCAAACCCTCTTCCACTCAAAAAATGTTAAGACTGGAAATGAATAGTTCAGGGATCCCGCTAGTTCTAATGTTGTATAGCCTCCATCACTTACAATAACCCCACTTGACTGACACTGTCCACCCAACCTTAAAGTTGCCCTCTGTAGTTTGCAAATATCAAGGTTGGTCTTTATACACTAAAAAGTAACTCTTTACCTACTCATCCAAAACTCAAAAAGGCACTCTTCCTCAGCAAGGCCAACACAACAAAGATGGATTTTTTTCCAATAAGCAAAGGACAGGTTTATTTTCAAAATATTGTATCTTTAAAACTCTTTTTTCTGATTTTTGCCAAACTTCTCAGGAAAACTCTACCCTGTGATGAAATGTGACATGTAAGTTTTCAGGCTGAAATTTGGGGGATATTGCAGGGGAGGGACAGAGGCTAAGGAAGCTATCTTCAATCTTCATGGTAGAGTGACCTATTCTAATACCTTCTTCCCTTTAGTGTGTTCACAATCCATTCAGTACCAACTGCCCCCATGACGTCTAGCTTTAGATCTGGAATAGCTACAGGGGTTTCTTGTGGCTGTTACCTGGCTTTGCCAAAGATCCCAGTCATTAATTGGCAACATTTTGCAATAGTAAACTTTTTACTGAGCAGGGCACAGGAAGAATAGGCTGAGTCTATGGTGCCTGCCTACAGTGTTCTGAAAAGTCACTGCAATGATTCTATACCTTTTTGTCCACACAATCCATTAGGACTAGAAAACCACAATCTTTAAACAGGGAAGTGCCTGCATACTAAAATAGTTTGCATTTCTACTGACAAAACCTCCTGAGGTAAATGTTTACAACTAAATGATAGCATGATGAAAAATTAATAGACAGGTCACCAAGATCCTTTTGGCTAATGCTCATTTTTTTGAGTTCTGGTAACAAATTTTACTGTCTGTTTAGACTGGAAGAAACAGCTTCACACTTGAATTGAATGTGTACCTGTGTGTTTTTGTTTTCAGTGTTGTTGTGGCCATATTAGTCCCAGGATGCTAGGGACAAGATGGGTGAGGTTATCTTTTATTGGACCAACATCCATTGGTGAAAGAGACAAGCTTTTGCAAAGAGCCCTTCTTCAGGTCTGGGCATTGGCATACAGCTGGTTAACTCTTAAAGCTTTATCTGTTTATAACATGTTTAACACAGTGCTGGTGCAGTATAAATTACAAATAATAAGCTCCATGCAACTGGAGATACTGAGAAACGAATTTCTTATTATAAGGGATAAAAATAAAATGCACAAGGGCTATAAAAATCACAGGATACATTTAAAAAGATTTGAGAGAGAGATTCTGAACAGATCCACCCCCTGCGGGTTACCTTTGATGTAAAGGTTTGTTGAATTACTTGGATCATCTTCCCCTGGTATCCCTGATATAATGGCGTTGTAGTGTGAGAAACTTTTATTCAAGGGTTGCAAGCACCAACTCTGCAGGGGACCTCTTCGGTTGAATTGGAATGTGAGAGAATGTAGAAATCACATGGATTGTTCAATACAGCTGTTGAAACACAGTGAAGGATAAAGCTCTCTCCTGAAGACACTAGATAAGACATATGATAGATGTGTCAATTTGAAATCTCTTTTAACAAGAGTCACCTTTGGTTCCTTTGCAGCTCTCAGACATTTCTGTTGTATAAAGGAGTCCTCAAAGTTTCACCCAATTTATCTGCTATGGATAAACTGCTTTCTTCAGTGTCTGTCCTTCTGGATTGTGATTTAATCATTCAAGATGCTAAGAGCACCTAGCACAAGGGGGTCTGAACCTTTTCTGGCTTTCAGGTGCCACCACAAGACAAATAATTAATAATAAGAGTACAAACATTTACACTTGGAATTCAACAAGAGGGTACCCTGGACAACTGAACAAATGGCATTAAAGTGAATGAAGGAAATTATCTTCATCATGTAAGCTTTGTCCTTGTAATATCGAGAGTTTAATTTACCCTTTTTAGAAATACTAATAATTAAGGGGAGATAATTAATACTAATAATTAAGTGGGGCCATGGTATAATGGTCTGAGCATCGGAATGTAAGTCAGGAGCTCCTGTATTCCAGGCCTGGCTCTGATACTGACCTCCACTGTGACTTGGGTAAATCATTTAACCTAGTTGCTTCAGTTTCCCCATTTGTAAAATTGGGGTGATCTATATCTAGCTCATGTGTATCTCAAGAATTAATTTGAGATTAATTAACTTTGAGATCTTTGAATGACAGAGACAACAATAAGTGCAAGGAATTATAATTAAGTACATACAAGCATAATTAATTTCTTTACATATCCAAACAGAGCTTTTCCAATTTTAGTATTTATTGTTTTGAAAATATTCTCCAGCTGTCCCCTATTTATTTTTATTGTTCTTTTTCAATACAGGTCTGTGTCTGTCACTCTCTTGGTGTCAATAGACTACAAGAGTAACATATTTTACATCTTCATTGTTAATGCTGTTGTAATTGTCTCCTACATAGATAGTGGCTTTCACACTGGGAATTTTTATACTAGAACCACGATTGCACTATGATACATCAAATTTCCAGGAAGACTTCAATTATTTTTCTGGGCTGTAGCATACATTAAAGTACACAATTAGTGACACAGTTGTTGTGACCTGAATCTAAAGTAATATCAGTATATTAAAAAACACAAAAAACAGAGTTCAATTATAAACTCCTTACTCAGATTGCTGAACAGCTACTTACACAACTAATGTCACTGACATCAGCGGGATTAGTCATGTGAGTAACTGCTCACCAGCGGGATTAAAGGGTTCACAATTTGGCCCATTTTCAGAAAAGGATCAAGGCAAAGAGGCAAGCTGCCAGTAGGTCTGAGCAAATAAACCACCGTGAATGATACATCATCCAGCTAATTTAGTCTCTCTTTCTGTTTGCAGTATATCCAGGACCAGATTGTGATTTCTCCAACTGAATTTATTGTTTGAAATTTGTTCAACACATTTTTTCTCCTTTTTCTCCACTAAGATTTGATCACAGATAGTTTTCTGTTAAGTTTTTTTTATTCCATATTCAAAATGCCAGCTGTGTTGCGTAGTTGTTGTGATTGGCCACATAAATCATAGTCTGGTTTGTGTTCCGCTATTCGGTGAGCACACAAGCTCTTTTGGCACAAATGCTTCTGTCCATGAATATAAAACGCAGTTTCTGTGAATATTTCATGTGCAACTTTGACATTGGCTTTCTACCAACATCTATTCCAGTAAAACTCAGTTGCTTGAATGTTCTCAGAAAATGATCACAAATGGGGCATGAACATGGCCTAAGCAAATTCGTTTCAAAATCAGAGTGAAAATTCCCAGAAAACAACGTGCAATATTCACCTCTCTCTAGCTAATAAAGATTTCTGTCTTTAATGTTTTTTTCCTGTGAATCACAGATAGAGGACCAGATCCTGAAGCCTTCTGCTGCTTTTCCACCCCCTTTAGGGTGATCAGACAGCAAATGTGAAAAATCGGGACGGGGTGGGGGGTAATAGGAGCTTATATAAGAAAAAGACCCAAAAATCAGGACTGTCCCTATAAAATCAGGATATCTGGTCTTAACCCCCTTGTTTCTGGGGGTGCAAGTTTGAGCAGTGTCAGAGTTCCAGAACAAGACCTTTTGTGGAGGAACTGGCTTGCAGGAACTCGGTGGGAGCTGCTAAGGTTTGTCAGCATCTACAGCCAGCTCCAGTCATCTTATTAAGAGTATGTGTAATCTTATCATGTTTGGAGGGTTGTCCGAATATGGGTAATCTTATTTTATGTTCAATGTTGCTGTAAAAGCAGGACTTATATAGTTAAGCCAGGTATTATAATTGTAAAGAATGCAAATGTAATGTAATGAGAGAGATGGGGCATGAAATGTGTCTGCCTGCATTTTGCAGTTGGTTTGTGCCTTAATGGTGTGTTTAGGCTTATTCACATTTATGCTGTCCCTAAATATTTTCTTTGTTCCGCCACTGAGTTCTCTTTTGGGTTCTGTTCTAAGAATACTAGAACTTGTTTTTGGTTTCCAAACTGGAACAGGGTTCCTCGAGGATGTCTCCCATTTTGCTTATATTATTATATTGTGTATTTAAAATGCCATTTAAGATGCATTGTCATTTGACAATTAATTAATTAATATTTAGCCACTGAAAGAGAGACATTTAATTATTCTTTGTCTCAATCCTTCTAAGTTCCCCGCTATTATTTTCTTAACATTTTTGGTTCAGAGGTGAAGTGGAAACAGTGATGGCACTTAGTATCTTCTAAAGGTCTGTGGCCACCCAGAATGTCACAGCCACAACCAAGGGGGCAATTTTGGTCCTTCTGCTAGAAAAACATAGACTCCTCCCACTTAGATTAAACAGAGAATCTCAAGTCTATGGCTAGAGCAGGTTCTGACATTACAGTAGAGGGCAGTGGTGATACTCCGTCCAGTATTTTACATGTTTCTGTTTAACTTTTTTTTTATTTCATTATGTTTTAACATTTTCAGGTAACCACCATTGTCTTTGTAGTGTTCTTTGACCCTTACGGCATACTTTTTATTTTAAAATAAAGACTGTGTTGGCTAGACTATGTTAAACTCTATTAGGCTCTTCTAGGTTGAAACATAGTTTTAAACTTGGTTATAAATGGTAAATGGGGCAGTGGGTTTCTGTCTCCACACCCAATTCTCCTGGCATTCAGAGGCAAGGACAGTGAATGCTGGGATAGCAGAGGTAAGGGTTCTGCAATCTGCATACCCCTGTTCATTACATCACAGTCGGTACTGCAGGCTGGTTATTTACTCTCTATATCACTTCCCAGCAGGGGTTCAAAGAAATCAGCAAATCTCCCCGTCAGAGCTAGGAATACCTAGCACAATTCATTCACGCACAGCAGGAAAGCTAGGGATTAATCAGAGGGGGAATGTTGTGAATTCCAGAGAGTTCTTTCTTTCTGTTGCACAGCTGGTGGGAGAGCATACTGCTACATGAAAGCAGCCCTGTCAGTATCAATCTTCATTACTAGTGCTGCTACATTCCAGAGAATGAATTGGCCTCATTTGGTAACTCCAGTGCTGCTGTTCCCTTCTGCTGGATTATACTCACGAAGAATCCAAATTCAAACACATTGAATTTGCAAATTGTCAGTCATGTTCTGGGAATTACCACATCCCCAGCTCAGAAATACATCAGTCTCCAGTTCTAATTCTGTATGTGAATCACAGCTTCATGGAAACTAGAAATGGTAGACATATTAGAGCATACAGACAGTCCATCTTCTTGCCACCGCTGGATTGTTTACATTTTAATTTTACACTGGGGCTGCCACCACTTCCCTTGGGAGGCTTTTCCCCAAGTGCTTCTTTATATATTTTTAAATAGGACTTTAATTTAGATTGATAAGATACAAGACAAAGCCAATAGGTGCAGTTCTTTTAATACAATATAGTGGAAACTTGGGAAATTACGTGTTTTCCACAGGATCATTTTCTTATAAATAGAAGTTAATTTTTGCAATTCTTGACTTGTTGCAAAACTTTGAAATAATCTGGGTCTTCCATTTTTTCCTCACAGATTTTCGTTATGTGTAGTGAGCCAGTTCTGCTGTCTGTATATATTATTATTTATTGGTTATTATTTGCATTGCAATAGTGTGTTTAGGAGCCCTTGTCACAGACCAGGACCCCATTGTGCCAGATACTGTATATAACATATTTTTCACATGATGCTCTACAACTACACCAACAAAAATTAATGTTTATCTCTGCTACTTCAGAGATGTTGTTAGCAATGAAATTAGATAGTACTACAAAAAGCAATCCCACAGCAGACCTCTCTTAATACCAATCATAGGGCACATGTTGGCACGATAACACAACTTCATGGAAGCTAAATTCTTCCAGTTTTTCTGCCCTTTAAGACAACGAGTTCAAGGACTAGCCATTGCCCATCAATGAAGATCTAAAGTATACCCACAAATATAGTGGCTGTTGATTTATTTTTCATTGACTAAAATCAGGTTAGCTTTCATAGTAAAGAAGAATCAAGAAGTTTGTAAGGTTATCCCTTGATCTGTATTGAAACCTTTTTTTATAATTTTTTAAGCCCA